GGTATGAAGAACGCGAATGAATACGTCAAACAATACGAAGCAGAAGTGAATGCATAAGCAACAAATCAGTGAACAAATCAGTGAACAAGAAATGATAAACTAATAAGTCACCAACTGAAACAAACAAACCCATGAACTAACAAATGAATACATAAGCAAGCCCTAATAACAAGCAGCAAACTGACCCCAGCACTCCCCAACGATGGGAAGAAGCAGCTGTTGGAGTGTCTTCTTGCCTGGTCTTGACTGCCCCTCCCTCTTGGAGTCAGGCCCTGTTAGAACATGTAGATTTTATTTGTTGCTTTCACTTGCGGTCAGCGAAATGCAAAAGATATCCCAACTACTCTACCCCAGTAAGCGACCTAGCCTAATATAATAGTGTGCCATTCGATTTAGTCTAGGCACCCAAAGCGCAACGTAAAGCCTACCTCTTCCCTAGACTGGCTTCAAAGTGCTGAACACATGGGTAGAATTCTGGTTCCTCAGGAAAGAACACCAGAAGAAACCAAACAACCAAAGACAATACCAATAGAAGACAAACCAAGCCAAATAAAGCCAAACCAAAACCGAAACCAACACCCAAGGAAACCAAGCCACACTGAAATCCAAGCAAACCGCCGCCAAAACTAAAGAGAAACACATGTATCAACACCAAAGGAAGCCAAAACAAGCCAAAGGAAAGGAAACAAGCAATTCTGCTACATCGAACCAACAGAAAGATCCTATCAAGATCCTCGCGCCAGTCTCGAAACCAACCCCAAACCTCTGGATGTGTCTGTTTGTTTTTGTGTTTTAAAGGGTACCCCTTAAACAAATAAACATAGCAAAAGTTGGAAACCAAAAGGACAACCTCCCATTTTCGGGGGTCCAGCCTTAAAAAATAACACCCCATCACCCTGTGACTCCCTCGTGACTCGCTCGTGACTCACACGGGTCACCGGGCCCCGGATCCGCCAAATCGAGCCTCGAGGTGCGGATCTTGGTTCGCAACTCCGAGAGCTCGTCCAGCTGCGCCAGGTGAACCAGGCCTCATGGGCCGTGGGTCCATGGATCTGAACCCGAGGCGACCCGGTTCTTTTGGGGTGGTCGCAAAAAAGGGAAGCCAAAGGCTAAACCAGAAATTCACCGATTTTGCGCGCGCACGCACACACACATGGGCAAATTGATGGACAACGCGGATTTTGCGAGAAATTGACTAAGCATAGGCCGACAATAATGTTGGCGGTTCTTACATGGGGTTGTCCACTTTTTGGTGGTACCCGGTACCCGTTGTGGTGCTGTTTGTAAGGGAAGTTGTTTTACCAGCAAACTCACCCAAGTGCTAGCTTTATTAAGGCCTGGTTGTTTTGAATGGAGCTTAAGCGGATGCGAAGTGGGCATCATAGTCCACTCAAAACTTCCTTGACCACAGGTCGTGAAAAGGAAACACATAGAAGAACAGTGAAGACAGCAAAGTGACAACAACAAACCAAGTAACACGCACATACCAAGGCTTCGAGCGTCGCAGCTGTTCCACCACTGCCCGCGGCAAGCGCTCCGTGCGCTCGGCGATGGGAGCGTCGGATTCGCGGCCGAAGCCAACGCGCCCGGAGCGCCCAGCCATGGCGACATGATGCGGCCGAGAGTTGGGTTGGCTTGGGGCGGGCTTGGGGTGAGTTTGGGGTGGGTGTAGGTTTGGGGTGCGTTGGGGGAGGTGGGCTGAGGGTAGGCTAAAGGACCCGAAACAAACAGATGATCACCTTTTGGATCTTGCCTGAAAATGGGCCCGAAAATGGGTCGGCTTTGGGCGTGTGCGTTTTTTTTGGGGGATGCAGGATGCCTGCTGGCAATGGACATCTTGCATGGGTTTACGCGCTGGGGAGGGGACCTTTTCATTCAAAGCCAAATGAACAAAAGTTGCTTCAGGGAACAGTTGGAATGACTTGGGGTGACTATTGGCGCCTCTGTCTGCTCACAGTGACACAGCGGGGATGTAAACCTCCCAACTCGGATTTAACGGCCACATGTATAACCAAAGAAAGGCCGCCAAGTTGGGCGTCGAGTGGCCCCTCTTGCGGGCGCTCAGGTTGCTCTCGCTGCCTAAGGCCTACGCTTGCTCTTCCAGCTGGCTGCTTTGAGGTCCCATTTAGGATAAAAGTCAAGAGACCTGGTGCGACGGCGCGACCTTCCAGTGGCTTGGCCAGTGGCCTGGTTCCTAAGCTTTTGGTCCTTGAACTCAACTGTGAAGTTGCCATCAAAGCTGGTTGCTGGTTGACTAGAACAGGCTGCCCGCCCCGAACCGGAAGCCAAAAGTGATCAACCGTGAACGTGTTGGTCCATGACTTTCAACAGTTGGCTTCAGCAACACGTTTCACAGCTGGATAAGTGATTCAATTTGGAGACTGGCATGCTCTCTGACGCTCCAAGGGCCGCGTTCCGCCACCTATATAGTGTACAGGCTCCACATCAACAGCTCCGGATACACTGCGAAACATGGATGCGCAACTAGGGTTGCCCCCCTGACCACTAAAAGTGGATAATGGCCTTTTGGACAATTTGAGTGAACAAACAACACACACGCACACACACACACACTTTAGCTGGCCCAAAAAGGAGGTGCTTGAAACCACCCAAAGGGGACAAAGAGAGACTTCTTGCAGATTTCGGGGGTTTCCTTCCTGAGGGCATCCTTTTCCTTTTCCAGGTTGTTTCGAAGGGAAACCAATAGGACAAAATGGCCCAACATGGGATGCTCCGAAGAGCCGTTCTGCGGAAGGAAACAAACAGGGCCGTGATGAAACCTGTTTTGAGGTTCGAAGCAAGCCCCAACTCCTTCCCCAGGTCACGTTTTCATTCGACCGCCTCTCGGCAGGCTCCATTGGAGATCCGGCCATCCAAAAGCTAAGGGCCCGCGCCCGAGCAGTCAGTGAAGGAAAGCTTGGGGCCGCATTTTGCAAGGCGACACCCGGTTTGCCAAACGCCGTTGGGAGAAAAAGGTCTGGGAAAATTGAGAGAACCCTCCCACCAAAAAAGAGTCCACTCCCATAAAGGAAGTATCAAGTTGCCCTCCCACCCATGCGGTGGAACCTGACTGAGAGTTCCAAGGAGACAATTTTCCACTGACAGCTGCGAACCCCCTAGTGAACCCCATGGCAAGGTATCCGTCCCATGGTTGGCTTCCTAAGGCTGCTAGAGCCACGGAGTGCTCATTGAAGTGCCACGCCCAAATCCAGCCGTCCGGACCCCCCCCACCCCCCCACCGGTCGGTACAAGTTGGTTGGTCCCAACCTAACCCTTCGATACGTGTTTTGGTCCCAAACCACACCTTACGACCATCCTGGCGCTTTTAAGGGTTGGTCACGTGCCGAGTCGTTCCGAGTCAGGTTCGACAAACCGTGGGCTTTCCAACTCCTTGGGACACTTTCCTGCTGAGCTGGCCTTGAATTCATGCACACGCGCGCAAAAGCACTCGGAGCATCCCCCTGGTTGAAACATGTGGGATTTTTTGCGGGTCGACCATTTTTACCGGGGAACCCAAGGACAAAGGGCACCACTGAACTGGGGACATCTCTGAGTCGCTTGATTGGAGGTCCACCCTTTTCCATCCATTACCTTGCATGTGGGATCTCGGAGATTGCGCTCGCGCCCGACGCCGCGCGGGCGGATGCGGGCGACACGGCGGCAGGCCGCGGGGAGGCGTGGCGAAATGGCGAAATAATAATTTAATGGCAAGAGCATACTGTTTGGTGTTTTTAAAGGGAGACCAAAAGGAAAACCCACCCGTTCTTTGGGGGCCCCTATTGTGAAAAAGATGGCAGGCATGATTAAAACGCTAGTTGATTGACAGCGGGTCTTGGCAATCCACCAAGGACCCACCAGGCTTATTGGGGTCGACATTGAGTCCATGGTCGAGTGGGGAGCCTTGGGACTGAAGCGATCGAAATCTCCTGGAGATCTGACCCATAAGATGCTGGCATTTTAGGGGGCATAGAAGTAAGGCTCCCTGTGCAGCAATATAACAATGAACGGAATTCCAGCTGCCTCCCAATTCACAGCTGAATTCATTTTCTAGGGGGTGGGCATACCCCAGTTTCCATCAAGGAGTGTCATGTTAGGATGCATGGCAATGGGCGTTTCCCTCAGGACCCCTTAGGGGAAAGAACAAAACCATGGGTTGTTTGGCACTCATGGTGAACGCTTCCAGTCGTTAGCAGCCCACTAACGCCTCAACACCTCCCCCCCATTTTCTTCGGCTCCATCCGGAAATCCTCGGAAAACCCCGGGCTCGCTGATCCCGTAAGACTGCAACACGGTGACGCTCGATCGGCCAGGAGGTCGGAAATTGTCGGACCCTGCGCACAAAAGCAGCTACAATGCCAAAACCCTGATTGGGGTGATCTGCAAAGTCTTCCTTCATCATTGTGGATGATTTCGGCTTTCCAGCCGAGAAAGTGAGCTCGCCATCCAGCAACGATAGATATCCAATTATCCAATTGCTGGTCCCCAGTCTCAGGGCCCAACGACCCTTGGTTCATATTAGCAAAATGCCAGAAGGCGAACAACATCAGTTGCTAACACTCCACTAAATCACCTGCCAGTGGCAAACTTTGATCCCAAACCCTGGCAGCAAAAAGCAAAACGAAGCGCTGCTCTGTGCAGCCCCCCCCCCAACGTCGCCCCACCAGGAACCTATCCTTTGAATGCCCTGTTTCAATCACCCAAAAGAGACACACATATATAAGGACCACCGATGAACAGAACTGAAAAAGCAAACCGAAAGCCTCCAAAGGTCCTTTGAACATGAGCTTCCGGGGTTCACTCGAGGCAGGTTCCATGTTTGCTGCGCAGGTGCGAAGAAAAATACTTGGCCACACCAGTGGACCCAAAGGTGTTCACCTTTGCTGGTTGAAAATGAATCAATGAAGTAGAGGAAACCCCTTAAAGGGGGTTAAACATGGTTAAGCGTCTGGCATAGGTCAGTGAAGTCTGTTGAGAAAAGGACTGTCGAAATCGACTCCAGCTCAACCTCCCAAACCCGACCGGCTCTTGGATTTTGCCTTTGGCCCGCCCTCGGACAGGAGCCGCTCACCTGCGCGACGAGACGAGTCTCTCGGAAGCGGCCCTGGCTTTCGAATGAGCGCAGGCTGCGGCCATCCCCCCACCAAGTAACAAGCATTCTTGGGCTTCAGCGTCCAGCCCACAGGAGAATCAAGTCGCAACCGCAAGATCCCTTTACCTTGCGAAAGGGGTCCTCTTTGTGGTTTTCCAATAGGGGTTCTGTTAGGATTGGCCACTCCATTTTGAACAGCACAGTTTAGGCGTCCTTTTGGGATACCAAGAGGGACCAAAGTTGCACAGTATCCATGTCGGTATCACAAAAAGGGTAATTTGCTACAACCATGCCAAGTTTTCGATGGTTCTGCACTAATCCTCTTCCTATTTTATGGCAAGGTCACTTGGGGATAAAACGAGCGAAAGCCAATAGGACGGTCCTCAGCACGATAAACAAATATCAGCAGATTCCCATGAAGGTCAACCCCCAAATAGCTTACAGGGAAAACACCCCCTGCCTTACAGGGTTTCGAGCTCACCGATAGGGGTAAAACGAGGGAAAGACACGAAGCTCTGGGGATCCTTTCGCAGGTGTTGGATTTGATGTAAAAAATGCAGACTCATTCTAGCTACCTCACGGGGGTTCTGACCTCACCTTTTGACTCCTTCGGTTAAACAAACCTGTGCCGTTTCCCCCTTTTGGAGGGATTCCCCTTCAAAATCAACTAATGAAACAAGTGCCCGTCTTGTTTTGCCATGACTGGAGGTTTGGGTAATTGTTTTTAACAGGAAGCCAAAACGGGGTTGTGTTTTTTCTTGTCAAGACCCCCTTTTGAACACCCGGGCTGTCAAGGGCCCACCCGAAAGACGCCCTGTGGGTGGGCGTGAGGCGCCTATTCTGCGAGTGCCGTCACCGGCCATGGCCTTCGGCAAAACCTGTGACCCTGGGAGGAAATTCTGTTTCAAAGGCCTTTAGTCAGCTTAGTTGCCAAAATTTGGGGATTGCCTTACAGCCCAGCAAACAACCGGACCCCTAAACTGGATTTCGGTCTTCCTTTTGGCTTCCCTTTGAACCAATCTAAAAAGGGTACCTCCAAATAACCCTTAAAAGTGACCTTGTTCCAAGCCCCCTATACTTTTGCCACACCAGCAAAGCTACAGGAACCCAAGGGGTTCCCCGAACTTGTCAAGGGGAAACTTGCCAAACGGCCTTGTGGGCTTCCCAAGACCCATACCAGGGGCTTCCCTTAACCCAAAGCCAACCTCAGAGCTGAAACTTGGCGACCCCACGAGCTGGGCTCTCGGGGCTCTCGGGGCTCACCGGGCGCTCGATCGCGCTCCTGGCGAATCCCATCGGGTTCTGGCGAATCCCATGGGAAGCCTTCCCGAAGCTTCCACTTTCGGCTGGCGGAAAACCACATGGGTGTGGGTCAAAACCCAGATACATTTTTTTCGGTAACCCCCCGTTTGTTTGGGGCATTTTTTCCAGGGAATCCGGGGGGGTAGGGGGTACCATGGTTTTGACCCACAGCCACATGGACATCAACAAGCTTGCAGTTTGGGGGGTTTGACAGTTTGGCCCCCTTTTGAGAAAGTTGGACGGGGGTTTGTGGCCTTTGATTGGTTAAGTTACGCCCCCGTGATCCCCTGCAAGAAGGTAGAGGCAAGCTGGGTGTTCTTGCAGGATTCCATGAAGAAACGAAGGGCCATTTAAATTGGCCCTGCAAAGCGAAACTGCCCTGTGACTATTTGGGTTACAACCACCTTTTTGTCAGACAATCCCTGGGGCAGGGTACTTAGTACGAGGTGGGCAACCGTGCTAACCTATTTGTGGATGCAAGTCCACCTAAAGTGTGTAGACATGGCGAGATTATTTACTGCACCCTGCTCCCTTGATTCAAGCGCAACCAACCCAAAGGCGCCCCATGCCAGGCAAATGATTACGGCGTTCTTTCTTCTTGGGTTCCCCAGACTGTACGCAACGCCGACGTAAAAAAAAACTGGCCTTCAGACTTGGACATCCTCCCGTACGTGGAAGCCAAAGACCACCCATCCCCATCGAAGTAAAGCAATAAGGAATCTCCTTTTGATAAGGGTGCCTATGTGTGGTTGGTGAGTACCAGCAGGGTTGCTTACATGCCCGCTTTAAACATCCCTTGCCATAGGTTGGCTGTGAAGTCTTTTGGGCAAATAAGTGGCTGAGCGTTCTTCTTCTTGCCGAGTTGGAGGTTCCTTCCAAAAACAAAATGAAACCGACTCATCAAAGGGCACTGGACCCCCTCCCCATTCAAAGTACCTGTTGATTGGATTTGACCAAATCCCAAGGCTGTTGCAACACAGCCATGGCCCACACGCTTTGTTGCCGCTCGCGGTCCATTCCCGAGCCTCACTACTCGGATGGCCCATTCTTCCGAGACCCGCGGCCCTGCTCCGCCTAAAGCGGGCGCGGTTGCGAAAGAGACGAAAGGA